GTATATATATATATATATATATATTTTTTTTTTTTTGTTTGTTTTTTTTTGTTTTTTTGAGAATGTAAAAATGCTGAAAGTTTTCTGTGAGGGGTAGGTTGGTGTAGGGCGATAGAATATACCGTTTGTACAGTATAAAAACCATTACGCCTATGGAGAGTCTCCGCAAGGATAGTAAACCAGACATTTTGAACTATATATATATGTATATATATATATATAGTTCATAATATATTATTGGAATATTTAAAATCTAGTTACATAAACAGCTTTTCGATGTATTATGGATAAAGATATATATATGGACTTTTTTATATATATTTTGTTTTCACCCTGACTGTTGAGTTGGTTCGGCATAGGTGAGAATGTCTCAGAGCATCACATGTGTGGCAATAGCAGTGTGACTTCTGGATGATTTCCTCAGCCCCTCCATAAATATCTGTCTTCCATGGGAATCCTTCAGTTGACACAGCTGAGAAGCAGGTGTTATTCAATAGGTTCCTCCCCCTGTCCCTCGTTCCCTTCATCTTCACTATCTTTTCTACTCCTGAGTCCTGTCCTTCCAGCTGCTCTTTCAGTCTATCTTCATTCTGTGTGTCTTTTGCTTGTTGTTCTTGTCCCCCCACCACCAGTCTCCACATACAGTAGGCCTGCCAGTACATATCCAGCTCTACTGGTCATGTTAAAATGACAAACCTTGTCTATGTCTGTGCATATGTGTGATGTGGGAGCATGATTACATGTGTGTGTGTGTGTGTGTGTGTGAGAGAGAGTGAGTTGAGGGCAGTGCCCACATTCCTATGGCATTCTTGACATTCTCCATCTGTGGCACTCTGCCCCATCTCCACGCTGTCTGTATGTGTGTGAGAGAGATTTGATGCGTAAAAGAAAATATACACTTTGTTCTCCTGATTGGCTGCCGCAGGCCCACGGGGAGGACTGGGGTAATTAGCAGAAGACTGTGCCTCCACCCTGTGGCAGTTCACGAAGGTGCAATTAGTGTATAGGTCTACATATGCAGTCAGGACCATGCTGAGTTTCCAGTTCATGTATTTTGAGGTTGCAAGGCAGCACTGTATGTCTATTGATATTCCTCTTACTTTTGAAGGGTTCTGCAATTCATTCTGTTTCAACTGCTTTATATACGTATATTAATTTTTACTTATAATTATTTAAAAAAGACATAAAATGAAGATTTAAATGTGAAAATCTCACATTTACATTTTTAGAATGTTCTTTATTCATGCAGAAATATAATTTTTATTGCATCTGTGTAACCATTTATAGCCACTTTTGCACTTCAAAGATAGTATTATGCTAATTATTAAGACCTAAGCCTAACTTAAATTTAAGCTTAACTGAAACTACTCTTTTACACGTTTGTGAGGCTCCAAGCCCTGGTGTTTCCTTTTGGAAAGGAAAATAAAGTATTATTGCACTGTATTTGGTGCAATGGAAATGATCATTGACTTTGTCATGCACTGCCGATCAAAACTTTGGAGTAGTTTTTTTTTTTTTTAATAATTGTTTTGTTTGTTTTTTGTTTTAAAAGAAGTCCCTCATGCTCACCAAGGCTGCATGTATTTGATCAAAAATACAGTAATGGTTACATTTGTGGAATATTATTACAATTTAAAAGAACTGGTTTAAGAAATGTTTTAAAACGTAATTTCTTTGATGAATAGAAAGTTCAAAAGAACAACATTTATTTGAAATATACATTTTATTTAACGTTATAAAGGTCTTTACTGTCACTTTTGATCAATTGTATACACCCTTGCTGAATTAAAGTATTACATTTTTTTTTATCTTACTTAACCCAAACCTTTGAATGGTAGTGTATTACGGTTTCCACAAAATATTAAGCAGCACTGCTTTAACTGTTTTTAGCATCGATAATAATAAGAAATGTTTCTTGAGCAGCCAATCAGCATATTGAATGAGCAATGGTTGCTGAAAATTCAGCTTTGCCATAACAGGAATAAATTACATTTTAAAATAGATTTAAAAAAAAAAGAAAACAGTTTAAACTTTAATAATATTTCACTATTTTATTGTATTTTTGATCAAATAAACTATTTTTTTAAGTTTTATTATTATTATAATTATTATTATTATTATTATTTCAAACTTTTGACCGGTTATTGACTATTTGAATTTATAATTTCTATAAATATACATTTATTCAGTTGTCAAACTCGATTCTGACGCCTCAGACTATTTGGATTATTAACAGTGGCCCGGTTGTGTAGCCTAATGCCGTTGTAGGTCAATCCGCATTTATGCAGTTCACCGAAGGCTAATGTAGGCTACAGACTAATTCAAAATCATTAAACCGCTCTGGTAAAATCAGTTCAGAGATAGAGGAAATATTTGCCTTTAATTAGAGCCAGTCTAATGTGTGGGCCACATGACACCCTGAAATTAGTGGTTATATTTAATTAGGGGGTGGTTATATTTTAAAAATCTAATTGAATCCCTATATTCAGTGGTATAGCAATTTTGTTTAAACTTTTTGCAGTAAAAAGGCACAGTCACAGTATTCACAATACATGTTTAATATGGTCACAGAGCCTTTATTTTTTTAATGTGTAAAAAAGTCCTAAACAGGGTGCAGCGAAGGGGGGTTGGGTTGAGGGGTGTTCGAGACCCCTAATCAATTGTGATCGCCCTCATGATAAGTATAGTGTATATGCTGTAGGCTACTTATTTACTAGTATTTTGTTTAAAAAAAAAAGTTTTAAACAATTTAGTTCAAAAATTACAACTTTGTTTAAAAAGTCACACGCCTCCATTGGTCCTAAATGACAATACACATGAAGAACAACTGTTTACATCACTCCACATTCGTGTCCTCTTTTTGGCCATTAATGAGGGTAAATGTGTTTGTTCGGTGGGTCGTTTTAAGTCGCTTTATTTCCGACTCGGCTCTATGCCATTTAGTATGCACTTAAGGTAATGGAAAGCAGGAGAATATCATGGGAAACCTGTAGTCTGCAGCTCAACCAATCGCGAGCAGCTGGATTATGCCTCACAAAACCTTTTAATACCACTGTTCACTAATGATCCGGACCCGCGGCCCTTTAATCCCCACTACATTAATTAAAAAGAGCACGAGCCCTCGGAAGATCATGCCATCTGCTGCAGTTTCATTCCATAGACAGATTGTGTTTGGTGCTTATTTAAAACAGAATTTCTTTACTTGTCAAGGAAGGCAGGAGGAATGAGAAAGGGATAAGTTTGTAGGAATTACATAGGGAAAAAGCTCTTTTGAAATATGTTGAAAAGTCTTTGTCTCCGCTTCATTGCCTGCTCTTGTAACCCACCACAATATATCCATGATGCTAAATTTTGGTCCGAATATTAAAGGGACGGTTCACCCTAAAATGAAAATTCTGTCATCATTTACTCACCCTCAAGTTGTTCCAAACCTGTGTGAGTTTCTTTCTTCTGTTGAACCCAAAAGGAGATATTTTGAAGAATGTTGGTAATCAAATAGTTGACGGTAGCCATTGGCTTCCATAGTATGAAAAAAAAATTACTATGGAAGTCAATGGCTACCATCAACTGCTTGTTCAACTATCCCTTTAAATGTAAAGTTATTTTAAGTTGTCATTGTTACAATGTAATTATACATTTAAGTACTGAGTAATATTAATTGACTATGGATAAGGTTAGGATTATGGTTTGGTTTAGGGTTAGTTGTAATTATGCATAATTTACTGTTGTTACAATAGTAAATAGCCTACATAAAAAGTATAACAAGGGCACTGTGAAATAAATTGTTACCAAATGTAATTCTCACATTTATACCTAAACTAATATCGAAAATTGAAAGATTAGGCCTATTTTTGTGTCACATGTTATTGCTTATTTCAGGACGACATGGTTTGTTGGCTCAACTTTTGTCCTCATTTAAGACACATTAATTTTTGATTGAGGTTTTTAGCATTTTAAACATGTTTTATTGTGAGTTAAATAGCTGGATTTAGTATTCAAAGTAAACTGTATGGTAAGTTACAAAACGAATCATAAAAACGAGATCGATTAAATATAAGGAAATAATTTTGAAGCAGAATGTTATGTTTTGAAAAGGAAGACAATATAAGAGCTAATGTTTAGCGTTAAGTCGACGACTGCTGTCATGAGGCAGCTTTCCTCCCCAACACACAGGTCCCATTCCACATCTACCCCTTCTGTCTCCTCATCCAAACACACTCACACTCTCTCAACCTTGCGCACGTGCCACTGGCCAAAGTGCCAGGTTCAGGAATTTACCACTTCACTGTCATTAGCGTGCAGCTCATTCTCTCTTGAAATGTTGCTGTGCGTTTGGGTGGGTTTTTGTCCACCATTTTAAAGCTTTAATAATGAATATTTTGTATTTTCGTTAATTTGAAGGCACACGTTAAGAAGGAGCCTAAATTTCAATGGAGCTGTGGATATGGACATGGCAGGTATCCTGCCTGGCGCTCATCGCGTCTGTGATGGATGTAGTTCTGGCACAGATTCGTTATACGATCCCAGAGGAACTGGAGCACGGGGCTTTTGTTGGAAATATTACGGAGGATCTGGGACTAGACACCAGCAAGCTCTCAATCCGCCGGTTTAGAATAGTCTCAGGCGCGAAACGGCAATATTTAGAGGTGAATTTAGAAAACGGGGTTTTATTTGTCAATGAAATAATTGATCGAGAAGAGTTGTGCGAACAAAATACATATTGTTCATTCCATCTCCAGGTTGTGATCGAAAACCCATTAGAATTGTATAGGGTGGAAGTTGAAATATTAGATGTCAACGACAACTCTCCGGTTTTTCCATGGAGTGAATTTAACCTGGATATCTCCGAATCGGCCGCGCCTGGATCGCGTTTCCCACTGGAAAGCGCGCAGGACCTGGACGTCGGTGACAACTCTCTGCGCTCTTATCTGCTGAGCGTAAACGAACACTTTTTCCTGGATATCCAAACGCGCAGCGACGGCAGTAAATTCGCAGAACTGATCCTCGAAAGTCCGCTGGACCGAGAGCAGCAGAAGACTCACCTGATGGTTCTAACAGCGGTGGACGGAGGCTCGCCGGAAAGATCTGGCACTGCGCAAATAAACATAACGGTGCTGGATGCCAACGACAACGCGCCTGTTTTCGATCAGAACTTTTATAAAGTGAGGCTGGCTGAAAACGCACCGCGAGGCACAGTGGTGATAAAACTAAACGCCACTGATCTAGATGAAGGACCCAATGGAGAAATCACGTACTCTTTTAGCGGCCACGCTCCAATGAGAGTGCGCGAGCTGTTCAGCGTGGATTCCCGCACTGGAGAAATCAAAGTAAAGGGACTTATAGATTATGAAAAGGCACGGATGCACGAGATTTATGTACAAGCCAAAGACAAGGGACCGTCAGCGGTGGCGGTGCACTGCAAAGTTATGGTTAACATCATAGACGTCAACGACAATCTTCCAGAAGTGATTCTTACATCAGTATCCACGCCAGTTCAGGAAGACGCGCCACCTGGCACAGTGATAGCAGTCATTAGCGTTATGGATAAAGATTCTGGGGAAAACGGAAATGTTGATTGTGAAATTCCTCATCATGTTCCCTTTCAGCTACATTCATCTTTTAAAAACTATTACACGTTAGTTACATGTGATTTTCTGGACAGAGAGACTATTTCAGAGTATAACATCACTCTCACGGCGCGTGATATGGGCTCACCGCCGCTGTTTACTAGGAAAACAATTTTAGTGCAAGTGTCTGACATAAACGATAACGCGCCGCGTTTCAAACAGCCCTCCTACACGGTCTACCTGACCGAAAACAACGCGCCAGGAGCCTCGATTTGCACCATCACCGCACAAGACGCAGACGCGGATCAGAATTCCTACTTATCCTACTGTATTCTAGAAAACGACATCCATGGAATGCCAGTATCCACCTACGTGTCCATCAACTCAGATAACGGCAACATTTACGCACTGCGTTCTTTCGACCACGAGCAGCTCAGAAACTTTCAGATCGTGGTTCAAGCCGAAGATGCCGGTTTCCCGCCTCTCCGCGCGAACGTAACAGTCAACGTGTTTGTTTTGGACCAGAACGACAACCCTCCAGTCGTTGTATCCCCGTTGCCCGAGAACGACACCGCAGCGGTTGTAGTTGTCCCCAGATATGTTGATGCCGTGTACCTAGTGGCTAAAATCACCGCCATGGACGCGGACGCCGGGCAAAACTCGCGTCTCTTTTATGAAGTCCTCCAAGCTACAGATCTCAGTTTGTTCAGTGTTGCCCTGTACACTGGAGAGATCAGGACAAATCGCCGGCTGATGGACAACGACCCCAGGAGACAGAGGCTGGTGGTTTTGGTCAAGGACAACGGTCAGCCGCCGCTCTCGGCCACGGCCTCCATCATGTTGTCAGTTGTTGACAGCGTGCCAGGATCCTTGTCTGATTTTGGTGACCTCGCGCTCAGCCCCCAGTACCGGTCAAACCTCACGCTGTATTTAATCGTATCTCTGGGCGCCGTTTCATTCACTTTTCTTGTGGCTATTATTGTCCTGGCTACAATTAAGGGATTGAAGGACATTAACTCGTGCTGTGGATTTCATTCTAAGGACTCCGCCAGTGACGTAATTAAAAAATCTAACTTGAACATTCACTTATCACCGGGATCAAAGGGAGCCGCGCACTGCGTGGAAGTAAACGAGAACAACCCAGTAGGTAAAAACTACTGCTATAAAATGTGTCTGACTCCAGAGTCATCTAAAAGTGACTTCATGTTCCTCAAGCCTTGTAGCCCGACAGGAGCATCTTCCCGAAATAACATAAAGGAAATGGAAATGGAAAACAAAAATTTGACCTGGAGCCCAGCCAGCCACAGTCATGGTACAATGAATGGGACGACCTCCCCAAATGAAGTAAGTGATCAAAAAAAGAAATAAATAAATCTCAAGTTTGTCCACTAAATAGAGACTTCAGATACTTCTTGTGCTTTAATCAACCTAGGATAGTAAAATGTAAATAATAACATGTAAATTGTAATGTAATTGAAAACATCAAATATATTTGGAAATGCCAATGTACGAATTACACGAAGGACAACAGCAACAACAATAATAATATGTGTACAATATGTATATAATAAAATACAACATAAGATACAATACATAGCAATTTTGTTTTAAATACATTTATCAATAATTATTGATATGATTAAAATAATTATTCTACCTTTGAGCTACTCTGTATTCATTTTTTATAAATTATATATATATATATATAAATGTATATATATATATATATATATATATATATATATATATATATAATTGAATAAAATAATAATTTTGATTGATTTGCTGAACAGCAGTGACATTAACTATTGAGCAAACATTGCTGTTTGTTTCATTGTGTTTTTCTGTCTTTTTTTTTCTGTGAACTAGACCTTAAAATTCTTAATGCATAGTTTGTAAATAAATTATAAAATAAACAAATGCATTTCTTTGTCATAGGTGTACTGCAACAAGGTGATGAATTAGTAAAGTCATGTAGTGCTTTAGCGACTGTTTTTGATGTATTCTGAGGTCTTTTCTCTTCTTGGCATAGGCATTAAGTTTGTAGTGCATTCTTTAACCTCTCATGTGTAAGTGGAGTAAATATTTTAACTATTTTTTTTCTTTGCAGCTTAAACAGGGAAACAAAGACCGAACCCTGACCAAGAACCAGCTCAATTATGCCTATAAAAGCTGATTAAAGTAAAAGCTGATTCTATCACTCTCTGTCCTCCATCCCCTCTCACCCTCTCTCTCACATGCACAAAGCATCTTACGTGTCCATGTTTTTGTTTTTCTAGTCATACTCCAATAAACACAGGTAGGACACTGCAGAGCAGACTGATTCAGGACTCAGACAACTATGCTTACACGTCTGTGCCACAGTACTGGACCTGGGGAAGTCACATGCATGGTAAAATCATTTCATTTGTCATGCCTAAAACATGATCAAGAAGACCAGCTTCATATATATGTTCCTTATGATTTACCTGAATTGTTTATCCAACCATTTTTTCTTTGTCTTCTAAAACAGACTATAGGACCTCATCTAAGGGTGGAGGTTTTCCAAATCGCTCATGGACACATTACAACCAACAGGATTCAGTTCAACTCCCACCAGACTATCAACATAATGTTTACATTCCCGGAACACCATCAACACTCTGTACGCTCAAACTGGCAAACAATGGAGACATTGAAGTCTGCAACTCATTCTCAACTTTTGGCAAAAAGAAAAAGCCAAACAATAACAATCAAGATGACACAGTAATAACCAATGATTTTTTCAAATGATTTTTCCAGTTGTATTTTTCACCTGTAGGTTACTTTCTGTATATAAGTGTCTATTTTAGTTGTATTATATGTACTATATGATTTGGCAACAACAGGACTTAAAAGTACTCTGATAATTATTATTATTATTTTATTATTATTATTATTTATTTTTTTTTTTGCATTTTTTGCATTTTTGTTTTTCAGTTAATTGTAGTATTTCTGAAAGCATTAAGATGGTTGCTTTAATTGTAATGTCCCATATTGATGAGAATATAGGTTATATTTTCCTATTTTATATCCCTCTCATTACCAAAATGTATAAAATAAAGAATATTATTAGAATTTCTTAATATAACTCTTTGGTCTTCTTGTTAAAAAAAAAACTGTAGTGTTTCCACTGCAGTGGGTCTTGCTGTGCCAAAACGACAAGAAACATTAAGAGCGTGATAATATAAATCCGTGCATCTCTTGGCTACATATACCAATGACAGAAAAAAGTACAGTTAGAATAAAAAGAAAAAAGTAGGAGAGCAAGAATATGACTTTAAAGGCAGATTTTACATTTACATTTAATCATTTAGCAGACGCTTTTATCCAAAGCGACTTACAAATAAGGACAATAGACAATAGAAGCAATCAATCCAACAAAAGAGCAACAATATGCAAGTGCTGTGACAAGTCCCGGATAGTCTAAAACACGTAGCAATTTGTATTTATTTTTTAAATAATAATAAATAGAAAAGATAAAAAGTATATATAAAGTATAT